ACTTACTGCTAAGCTTTCAACATCAACTGGCTTAAACTTGGGCAGAACGGCATTACGCTTTTGGGTAGAGTGAGTCCCTTCGTCCACGTCCATTTCATCGGCCTTTCGCTTGTTTCCTGGATCGGCGATAGTCAATCAATTAGTTCTTGAAGCTGCACAATTTAGCAATTTAGCACTTACGTTTCGCCTTCTTGGAGAGGACCGGCTTGAACTCATCTTGAGCCTTCTCAGGTTGGTACTCCTCAATGGCGGCCATTTGCTGCTCAAGAAAATCAGCCATTTTTCCTTCGGATTCTGTAGAACGGAAATAGAGCAAGAATAATTTGAAAATCCAGTATCTAAGGATTTAAAAACTCTGGCTGAGAAAAGAAAGAAGGCAACAAAATTGGCACGTGTTTTTGTCGCTGCGATCGATGGGGCCGGTCGTAGAGAGCATCACCATTTGCGGCAGATGTCGGTGTTTGCTCTTGGCAGGGACTGTTCCATTCCGAAGCCCCGCAGGAAGAAAGAATCCACATTGTCAACACAAAGTCACATTTCCAAGATGGCAAAACCAATGGCTAGTCTGTACACTAATTTGGAAGATGAGTTCGCATCAGTTCGCAAATCACTCAACGACATTGACTCCAGCATACGCAAGGTGACAGGGAAAGATCCCAGGTAAGTGGAGAGACAAAGCCGCAAAGTCCGCTTAACGTCTGACGTTTCTCTTTCAGCCGAGCAAGCCTCGATTTTATAAACGCCAAGAATAGGCTGCGTCCATTAAATGGAGATTTTAATTCCAGAAGGCCTTCCAGTACTATCAAAAGAAGGTAGAAGTGTAACTGTATAATCTTGTTGACTTTTGGCTAACATCATTGTTTATTCTCTTTAGAAATGAGTTTGATGACGACGAAGATTCACCGACGGCAAAACGGTCTCTACAGTCTCAAATAATGACCACCTCGTGGGATGACAAACAACGGAATCAAGTGTTGGAAGAGCAAAAGAAAGACAAAAAGTCGCTTTCTCGCAATAAACGCATGTTTGGACTTATTCTAGGCACGCTGGAAAAGTTCAAAGCAGAAGAATCACAACGAAAGGATACGGTATGTAACATTTTTTATAGTTATTCTTCCAAAGGGAACATTTACGTTTAGAATGAAACTGAGTTATCATTTCAAGCTTGAAGTTTCCTTTGGCAGAGTAGCTAAAGTAGGTTTGATGAATCGCATCGCCTTTAGTAGTCATTTGCTAATAAAAATCGTTTGTAGAAACGGCAAGAAATTGAAAAGAAACTAGATCAAGCTGCTGAAGAAGAAAGAGAAGCTTCCATTAGAGAAAGGAAAGAGCTGTTTGAACAACGAAAAATTAAGCGAGTCCAGCTGAGGTGTCTAGAACAAAAAATACAAAAAGTTGAACTGGTGAGTGAAAATAATCTACAACTTTTACATTTCTAATGACAATAATTTACCTATCAGCATAAAGAATGGGAAAAATCACAACTCACATTGGGCAGCTTCATTGAAACAAAATCCAAGCCGAGTATTTTCTTCTTGCCCAAGAAGCACAATAGTGAAACTCAAAAGAGACTACAGCAAACGAAGGACAAATATCGAAGTAAGAGATAACAAAATTACANCTTGCCCAAGAAGCACAATAGTGAAACTCAAAAGAGACTACAGCAAACGAAGGACAAATATCGAAGTAAGAGATAACAAAATTACATATTTGCCCAATTTTTCTAATGTTAACTCTTTCCTCACATTAGTTATTTTTGCTGAGAAGCGAGCGAAAATTCAAAAAGAACTTAAAGAAATCGAAGAGCAATACAAGGTTGAGTGCCAAATTGAACAAACAAAAGCAAATGAAAGCAATGAAAATGGTAACTCATTAGAAAAGCCTCCTGAAGCAGCTGATGAGAAGATGGACACAAACAACAACAACAACGTCCAAAATAACAACGACGAGACAGCCACCACTTCATCAGAGACCGTAGACACCGCGGGCGAAGAGCTGAAAGAGGAAGATCAGTCGGCCGATCAGTTAATGGAGTTGTAGAAAGAACATTTATTCCCGTACCATCATTATCCACAACACTTCCACGCTACTGTACACCGCATTCATTCACCTTCATAATACATAGCATCACTTGTAGACGAGTATAAATTGATTTGCCAGTGACATCGTCAGGTCGCCCTTGTCCGGGTAGACCATTCGCACTCGTTCCGGGTCGTCCAGTATTTTGTCGCTCACCTGGCTCAGGTTGCGATTACTCGAGCACAGCCCGGTGAAGTCCCAGATCTGAATTCGCTTGCTCTTTCCCTGACGGGCGTAGACGTACAGCTGGCTTTTAGAGAGCAGGCTCTGGCACAGTTGAGCAGTGGCACCTGTGTTACCTGTGGCAATCTTCTCCGGGTCAATTTGAATCAGCGAGTGAAGGTTGTTAGCCAGTGGGACCACTGTACAGTAGGTGGCGGAGTCTATGCAATCCAGGCACTCCTTTGCTGCGTCTCCCTTCAGAGTGAGCACAAACCCGGTGACCGCCGCCCAGTGGGCTCGTTTGCCGCCCTTCAGACAGGGCTCGTAATTGGCGTCGGCATCGTAGGGCAGGAGAAGCGGCTGTCCCTGGCACAGGTGTTCAATAATCTGCAGCTGTGAGCACTCCAGCCACTGGCGGCACTCGGCTCTAACGGAGAAGGCGTCGCTGATGAACTTGCACATTGATTCCACTGGCAAATTGGGAAATTGTTGGTAAAATGGCTTAGGGGG